TCTGCCTCTGCTTCCATCAGCCACTGGACGAGGGCTCTAGGATGGCATAAAAAGTAGTCACCAATCTCATTTTAGGGGAAGGGCGTTTAGGTTATCCTCTCCTCCATTGTCAGTTCGTGTCATCCCTGTAGGTCTCTGGAAATCTCCTTAGTAGCCAGATCTCTCCTCGGACCTATAATGGCTCCCTCTAATATGGTATCTCTCATCCTGCTCTCTCTCCTCTATTCTTCCCCCAACTCAATATTTCTGCTCCTCCATTTCCTCTTCTCTTCTCCTGCTCTCATTCTGGCAGCTCCTTGTCCCCTACCCTCATGCTCCCAATTAGCTCAGGAGTTCCTGCCCCTTCCCATTCCTGGGTATTGAGTATCTTTTAAAAAGATTCTTGTGTGTGTGTGTGTGTGTGTGTGTGTGTGTGTGTGTATGTGTTATGGTCAGGAACTCATGTAGGCTAGAAGAGGATGTCAGATCTCCTGGAGCTGGAGTTATAGGCAGTTGTGAGCTGCCCTCTGTGGGTGCTGGGAACCAAACTTGGTCCTCTGAAAGTACAGCAGATGCTCTTAAGTACCGAGCCATCTCTCTAACCCCTTATGAGCTCTTTTGATGATGAATGTGTCTAAAATTTCACATAAATGAATTCATAGATGTCTTAGTTAAGATTTTATTGCTGTGCAGAGACACCATGACCACAGCAAGTCTTACAAAGTAAACCATTTAATTGGTACTGGCTTACAGTTCAGAGGTTTGGTCAATTATCGTTATGGTGGGAAGTATGGCTACATATTGGCATACATATTGCTGGAGAAGTGGCTGAGAGTTCTATATCTGGATCAGCAGGCAGCAGGAAGAGAGGGACTCTGGGTATGAAACAAGGCCACACCTCCTAATAGTACCATTCCGTAGTAGCCTGTGTGAGCCATTTTCACTGGTATCACCACAATACACATGCATAGTTACAACTTATTTTCAAAACATCATGTTGAACAAATAATACATTTTTTGGCATGATGTACTGCATGGGCAACATGACTTTTTTGCCATATTGTTGGTTATCTAAACTTTAATGTTTTTAGTGTTGTGAATAATAGTGTGTTAAAATCTTTGATCTTATTTTTGCACCTCTAAAGGAAATTCCTCAATGTGAGTTCTGATCAGGAGAAGTTTTGTACTTGTAAGATTTTCCACAAATTGCCAAGTTTTGTTCAATAACGGTTGTACCCTGCTATATTACTAGGAAGGCCTGAGAGAGTCTAGTCCCCTTTACTGAGTGTGGCATTGTCTTATTTATTTATTTATTTTTGGTCGGTATGACAAGCTATAAAAGGTGAGATTTTGTCTTATTTGTCCTTTTTTTATTATTAACATAGTTCAGCATCTTTTTATTTTTGTCCACTCTCCATATTTTGTCTCTTTAGTTGTGGGGTTTCCCATAAATGCCATGGTATAAGGATTCATGTGAGGCAAGAAGAAAATCTGGTTTAGCACAACTTAGTCAGTGTTGGTTCAAGCTTCTAGAGTCTGATCCTGGGCAGTTTATTTTAGACATATTTAAGTAGAGTACAATTTTGTAAAAAAATTTCCCGATAATATATATGTCAGTCTCGTGTGCACAATAAAGTTTAAGGTATGACTACATCAAAACTCTTTTGTGAAATACGGGCGACCTGTACCATGAATATGAGTTCTAAAAGTGCCTACTATCTGATGTGGTCTTGATTATAGCTATTGTGAAGGTCACCAGGCTTTAAAGTACATGTGACATCTCCACTAATGATGGGTTCTATTGGCTGAGAAGCTGTGCTCAAGAAAAAGGTTTATTGGGGGATAGTCTGTGATAAAAATAGTAGTCTGTGGGATTTGGGTGTAGCCTTCTCCTACAAAATAGCATAGATCACCAGGCTACTAAATACATCCTCTCCTAGCCTTCTGGGTGGAAAACACACACACACACACACACACACACACACACACACACCCACCCTTCCACTGGAGAGACAAGCCTGTGTATTTAACATTCTTTTTTTCTTTTGTTTAGAAGAATTGTGTCATTTAAAGACATTGACCTTCTGTTATTAACACACGGCAGTTTCAGGCTGGAGAGATGACTCAGTGGTTATTATGATAAAGAGCATGAGGGCCCTTGGCGGATTCCAGGCAGACAAGGCTTAAGTGAGAAGTTTTATGAGAAAAAAGGTAAAGAGACAGACAGACAGACAGACAGACAGATACACACACACACACACACACACACAGAGAGAGAGAGAGCGAGAGAGAGAGAGAGAGAGAGAGAGAGAGAGAGAGAGAGAGGGAACAGTAGTCCTGTGTGCCCCACGGGGACAGTGGGAAAGAGAGCGTAAGTGGGCGGGGGTCTTTCTTTTAAAGGGGTCCTTTGCACCTGCGTGGAGACTACGCAATCATGGAACCCTGGGCTGACCAGGGTACTGCCTGAATGCATTCTGTCAGGTGACAGGGCCAGGCCAGCAAAATGCCTGAATCCTTACAGTGGTTTAGAGCACATACTGTCCTCGAAGACCCCAGTTCAGTTCCCTGTGGGTGACTCACAGCTGGTTATAACTAGAGCTCTGGGGGAATCTGATTCTTCAAGGCTTTAAGGCACCTGCATTTGTATGCCTAGATTCACACACATACTCACCCCCACACATACTCAGAATGTGTCCACTGTCTGTCCACTTTGGTTTTTCAGACAGGTCACTCATGGACCTGGAAGTCACCAATTGGGCTAGGCTGGCTGGTCAATAAGCCCCAGGAATCTTCCTCTTTCAGTTTACACAGTGGTAGCATATCAAGTGGGCCATGAGACCAAGTTTTTGTTATACTGGTGCTGGGGAGCAAACTCAGGTCCTCATGCTTGCTTGATAAAGCATGTCACTGACCGAGTTATCTTTTCATGACTTTGTGTTGCAATGGCATTTGCCAGTTGCCTTTTAATCTTCTTCTTGTCTTTTTTAAAATTTAAATTATTTAATTACTATTCATATTTACATATCCACCCCCCATTCCCTCACCCTCCCATCCTCCCATGTCCCCCACCAACCCCCCAACCCATCCCCCAACTCTTCCTCAGGGATAGTGAGGCCCTCCACAGGGAGCCTTCAAAGTCCATCACATCATTTGGGGGAGGGCTTAGGCCCTCCTTGCTGTATCTGGGCTGCAATAGTATCCCTCCATAAGGAATGGGCTCCCAAAGTCCATTTGTGCTCCAGGAATAAAGACTGGCTCCACCGTTAGAGGTCTCATAGACTGTCTTGACCTCCTAGCTGGTGCCCACATTCAGAGGGCTTGGTTGGGTCCAATGCTGTTTCCCCAGCTTTATGACTAGGGTCTCCATGCTCTCAGTAGGTCAGATCAACTGTTTCTGCAGGTTTCTCCAGCACCATCTTTTTGTCTTTAAAAGCATTTTTTTCTTTTTCTCACTTTCTTTCTTTTTTTTTTTTTTATGGTACTGAGAACTGAGTCCTGTGCTTTGTCCATGTTAAACAAGAACAATGTCACAGAACCATAGTTCCAGGTCATATTTTAAAGTTTATATTTTCTTTTTATGTTTTCCAGTTTTTATAAAATGTTCAGAAAGGACTTTTTTTTTTTCTCTCCCTCAAGTGGATTGTTTCTTTGTGTTCTTGGGTATTTTAAGGTTTTTCTGGATTTGCTCTATATTATTTACATCTGACAAACAAATTGCCCCAAGTTTGCTGGCTAGAGTGTTTATCATTTCTTATAGTTTCTGTGGGTCAGAAATTTAAGAGGAGCTGAGCTCCACAGGTCTGGTTCAGGATCCCTTTTCAGCTTGAAGCTGTTGGCCAAGCCATCATCGTCATCGGGCATACCTGGGCCATGGCTGCTCACACATCCTGGTTAGTAGGTGCTGGCTGTTGGTGGGAGAGAGGGAGGCCTCAGTTCCTCTTCTCAGGACAGGCTAGATGGCCTGTAACAGGGCTTGCATATGACGAGTGAGCCAAGAGAGCAGGAGTGTGTAGAAGAAGCCATGCTTTTCACGATTTGTGTCAGAACACAGAGAGCATTTGCAATTTTTTTTTTCTTTTCTAGAAGAAGGCAGATAAGTCTAATTCACTGCTAAGGGGAAGGGTATTAGGTTTCACATTTTGAATAACTTACCTGTTAAAGAATGCAGACATTCAAAAACCACCACAGCTTCTTTCTCTGTTGTCTCTCTGTCTCTCCTCCTCTCTCTCACATGCACACACACTATATTAATCACAAGTTTTATAATAGTGACTTTAAAATTTATTTTATGTGTATGAATATTTTGCCTGCATGTGCTTGCCTGTTACCCACGGAGAGCATAATCAGATCCCCTGGAGTTAGGATGTTCTTGAGATACCATGTGGGTGCTGGAAGTCGAACCTGGCCCTCTGAAAGAACAGCCGGTGCTCGTAGAAGCTGAGCCTTCTCTCCAGCCCTTTGTACTCTAGCTCCTTGTATTTAGAGTCTCACTCATAGGGGTAGAGTGCCTTATGCTGCTATACCCTACTGTTTTGAGAGCCATTGTATCTCAGTGGTAAAGTATCTAAAACATGTATTGAAAATAATATTGATAGTCTGGTGATATTGTATGTTGTCTCTATGCCATACTTTTTGGTATCACATAGTTGGGATCATTGTGTTTCATTGTGGACATTCTTAAAAATTATTTTATGATGTTTTGTGCTTCCACAAGTAATTCTGAGTATTTTTATACACAGATACATAGACATAGTAACTTAAGGGCATTGCATGTTTAAAATTTTACAGGTTTTGAAAACAGAGTCTCAGGTATCTTGAACAGTATCCTTTACTGTATGATTCAGTATGAAGCAATCAGAAGGCATTCATGTTGGGGGGCAGTCTTTAGCGTCCCAGCCCCATATGTTCGGGTACCCATCAGAGGCTCAGCATTCATGTGGGGACAGTGTCTCTAGTGTTCCAGCCCCATATGCTCGGGTACCTATCAGAGGCTCATTATAATCCTTGTCCTTTCTTTGCAGCAGACACTGGAGTCTGGGTAATGCTGTGTTCCATCTGCCTTGGTCTCCAGGCTTCACTGCGTGAGCTTCTTTGTACTGTGGCCTCTTGGCTGTATTTGTTTACCTATTTATTTATTTAATTTATATTTCTACCTTGTCCTTTGTTGTCATTTCAGCAAGGGCGGCTTGTATTTGCAGGTGTGAGCATCATGCGTTCATGCTTTTATGTTAACAGCACCTCAGCCATCCTAATCATATAACAAAGGAAGGTTTTAATTTTAGTAATAATGACAATTATTATTCTTTTTGCTTTTTCCGTGAAGTGAATAAATCTTTTCCTTTGGCTTACATCTTTATCCAGTACTGAGCCTGGCCACTGCTGGGTGAGCTCCCTGCAGACCTGCAGCTGCCATAGATGGGCCTTGGGCATCTTTCCAAATCTTCCAACTATGCTTTGGACAGGTTTTGTTTTTGACAGACTAATCAGAACCTTAATGCTCTTCCCTGCTGCAGGAGTTTGTGTTTCTAATTTTTATGTTTTTCATTTTATGAGAAGTCCTATCAGTCCCTGAGCTGGCATAACTTTATTGATTTCTTAATCATTTATTTCTGTGGTCTATGATTTGAGAAACCTTTCTACTCGGCTCAAAACCCTGACCACACCCTCATCTCATGTCTTCTGAGGACTCTAATTGATACATTATATTCACTTGAGGCAATTTTAGTCTAAAAAAGCAATCAGCAAGAGTAGAGATTGGTATAGGATTATCAGGAGAACCTGGAACCATGTCCTGTGTGTGGTGTCCATGCTTTCACTTGTGTTTGCATACATGTGTATGTGCAGTTGGACATGTGTGTTGACAGTGGATGTCTCACTCAGTTTCTCTTCACCTCATGCAGGGTTTCTTGATGTGCCCAGAGCTCATCGTTCCTGCTAGTCTAGGGAAACGGTGTGCCCCAGACCCCATCTCTGCTTCCTGCCCACTGAGATCACAGGAAGGCTGCCATGCCCACTAGGCTTTCCCATCCTGGGGATCTCAACTCTGGTCTTGCACAACAGAGCTTTACTTGCTGTCTCTCCAGCCCTAGAGATAGGAAAACAAAACACAAACTAAAAAGAAAGGTTGTGTTCACTGTTGATTCCTAATGAGCCCCTAGGACTCTTACAAATAATATCCTAAGTTAGATATTGCCAAATATCCACGACACCTGAATGTGAGAGTGTCAGAGTGTGGGCCACATGTGGCAGGCAAGGTAGGTAAGGAGAAAAGGCTCATCTCAGAGACCGCCATTCACAGACTGTGTCTCCTGTTCTGCTGGTGTTGTCCCATTGCTCCCAGAGACCACCATCACAGCCTGTGTCTCCTGTTCTGCTGGTGTGTCCCATTGCTCTCATTCTGCCTGATCTTGTTTATTTTGTGTCTAAACTTTCCAGGTTCTGACTATTTTCTTCTCTTACTTATTTTTTCATCTTAAAAATTACATTTATCTACCTATTTATTTGTATGTAGAGGGCCATGTACACAGCACAGGAGATGAAGTCAGAGTGTAATTTGCAGGTAGTGTGTTCTCTCCTTCCCCTGTTTGGGCTCTTGGGAATTGAACTCAGGTCATCAGGATTGGCAGCTAGCTTTTCTGTCTGCTGAGCCATCTTGCTAGCTTTCTTTCTTAATTTTTTTTTTTTTTAAATAGGGATGAGGGAGTTTTTCCATTATAAACTTTTATTTTTATGAAGCCCATTTTAATGTGACCCAAATGATAAATAATGCAATATTTTATGTTTTTATAAGCATTCCTAACAGTCTAAAGTAATCTTTTTAATGATTAAAATATAGCTTGGAATAAATATGTTTATGATGAAATTAGCTCAAAATCCTCCAGTTGCTTTGTCTGGGTTGTAGGTAAATACCAGGCTGATTCCACTTAGTGTATTTAAGTTGCCACATTGTTGAGTTAAAAATCCACATTGCCTTTCACTTCTGTTAGTGACAGTGGTTGGGCTTTCTGCATTAAATTAGAAAAAGATAGCACATTGTTGAAATTCAAATTTGTGGGTTATTGAAATTTAAAGTTTACCAAGCTTCTCTTTGCTAATGGTTATCATTTAATTGGATTTTTTTTCATTTCCTAAAAAGCTACTCACAGCCCTGTTAATTTTTAAGATAAATTATTTTTTTTCAGAATCTATAGCATTTTAGCTGCTGAAATTGGAGAAGGGGCTTTTGTTGTAAATATGTCAAATGGTGTTTATAGGGAATCACAGGATAAGACTGGTTTGAGCCAGTTCTCAGAAGATCCAGTGAAGTGTTATGTATTTTGTTTTATATAGTTTCTAATAGACCTGCCATCTACTGTTCACACCACCTCACATATAATTTTTGTTTGATAAATCTGTTTTGTCCAAAAGATTTACTAAATGTAACTTATTTGTGTGTTATTTCTAACATTTTATTGAAAGGGTTAAACATAGAAGAGTTATAAAAGTTCTATAATGATCACTCTGATTCTGTGTTTATGTATGTGGTACATGTGTGTGTTGGTGTGTGTGCATGTGTGTGGAGGCCAGATGTTGACTTTGGGTATCTTTCCTTGATTATGCCCCACCTTATTTTCTGAGACAAGGTTTTCACTGAATCTGCAGTTCATTGTTTCAGCCAGTCCCTGCTGATGTTCCTACAAAGGCAGGGCGGGGCCTGCCGTTTCACTGGCACTAGGGGCAGTATGGTCAAGTTGAAGCTGCTCTTAGCCCAAACTCAGTAAGCCTTTAAGTGTGTCTATATTCTAGTTACCTCCTGGCAGTATTTTCTCTCTTTGCTCGTTATTTTAAAGTATGGCTTTGAAAATAGTTTGCTTTTAAACACCCTTGACTCAAAATTGAGTATGTCACTGTCTTAGTATCTAGATCCATGTCAGTTTAACAGTAAAGACAATTTTCTGTATTAAAGATGCAATGTTAAGTCTAGATAAAGGGCTATTTAGTCAGCTCCCCAAGGTTTACTTTCATTGAGGCTTTTTGCCAGAATGCAGCATGTTTTTATAGCTAACTTTATTATACTTCTTTTTAATTTCTGGCTTTTTAACTGCTCATTTTTTTTTCTTGACACTTTTATACATTTTGAGAATTTTCAAGTGAAAAATGCTATGTCACACAAAACAGGTATGGCATTGATACTGAGATTTAAGGTCTAAAGATTACCAAGCGTCTGCTTTATTGATTTATGTATATTAATATGTACATTTGCATGTAGTGCTATGTAGTTAAGCCAGGGCCTTGCTTGTGTGTGCTAACACATAGTGTCTGTGAGCTCTATCCCTAGGTAACTGTGTTTTTACTGCATGTTATGGTTTGAATATAGTTTATGCATCCAAACTCAGGCAGACAGATAGTGTCTACTGTGAGTTAGTAAGTGGGTGCACTGTTGGTGTTTGCTGGTGAGAATAAGTTTCAATAGTGTCATCTGTCATCTGTCACCCAGGATTAAATCCTGGTGGCTTTATGAGGAGAGGAAGACAGCTTTACACTGCAGGGCTATTCTCTGTTGATGAGGTCTGCCCCTAGCTTCTGAGGCTAAGGCCTTTCTCTGTGAACTTCCCTGACTGACCTGAGCCTTGTGCAACCTGCATCATTTGGTGTGTCGGTGGCCATCCTTCTTGCTCTCTACACTTGCCTTTCTGGACACCCCCTCAGCTGTGGCCAGGTTAAATTGAGGCCCCTTGACCTGAAATGTTTCCTTGTGTGAGGTCCCTGGAGTAGCCCAATTTTTAGCAATAGACAGAGTCTCTTGCTGCTCTTGCAGCCATCCAGAGTGACAGAATGGGATTTCTTTCTACTACTGTCCTGTCTATTAGAGGGCTGTTTTACCAGAACTCTCAGCTGGATTTAAGGCTTGGGAGGGGTGTAGGTTTGTCCTGAGGGGAAGACTGCCTCGCTCATACCTGCCTCACTTTCTGCTTCACTTCCCTGCCCCTGGCAACCAAGCAGCTGATCCTGTGTTTGACTTCCTTCTTGGTGTGGCCTGTCCTTTCCCTGTATCTTTTATTTCCTTTGTGTGTTTCTGAAGCTCTATAGCTCTTTGGGATATAATCCATTTTTTTTTTTAACTCTCTTTCATTGGCTCACACAAAGATAGCCTTTAGTCATCTTTCTTATGCAAATGTGGAAACCTCTACATGTGAATGTGTGTGTGTGTGTGTGTGTGTTGAATGATTTGGGAATTCCATGGCAGATAACCATGTTTCTCTCCTATTATATGTCTGGTATTAATAGTTGGGTATTTCTTCCTTCCTCTTGGCTTATGATTATGATCAGATTATAAGTTAGGTGGTATATAAGGTGCTTTTTGCTCCCCTCTTTCCATCAGATTTTCCACACAACTTTTATAGTGTTTATAATCGGGATGGTATGACACCTATTTATTACCCCTGTTGCTATGGACAAGTAAATGGTGACTCTGTATAGGCTGAAATATAAGTAGACTTAGTAATTGTTTCAGGTGAATTCATGCCTGATCATATCATAACAAGTTGTTACAGAGGAGTAGCTGATAGTGCGTATGTGGCTGAGGTCATCATCACCAAGAAGCCTTCACTTACAGGTGCTGTATATCAGCTGTAAATATAATTTCACATGAATCTGAAAGCTTGTTTAAAATTATTCTCAGTTTAAGTACTTCAGCAATGAACCAGGTGTGCTTATTTCTTAAGCAATAATTTTCTCAGGAGCAAAGCTTTGAACTTCCATCACTTGCATACACTACTAGTGGAAGGAGGTAGCTGAAAAACAATTTTCCCTTTTATATGGGGTTATTTTAGTGCCATATTGTTATTGTCTAAAGGATGTATTTTGAGAGGAAGCTGGTACTAGGTACTCATTAATTTTAATTTTGCAGTTTTCAGCACTTAAAATATGAACAAAAAATCTAGAGATGTTATTGGAATGATTCTCTGGCATTGCATATAGATAAGGCAATGAATGATGAATTTTACCCAACTGTCAATGCCATAGAACTTTAAAAAATTTTGATTTGGTATGTATGGGAATGGATGAGGTCTTGAGTGCATGTGTTGTTGATATGAGCATG